AGGGAAATCTAAGGAGATCCCTTTGAAGAAGAAACCCCACTTTTTGTGGGAGGATCCTGCCGCCTATGCTCTCGAAGAGTCTTTGATTTTGATGAAAGCTTGTTTTTAGCTGAGACATCTGCAGTGCAACAGCTGAGCAGCATCTGACTCAAAAAAACCCTGATGTCTGAAAGGTCTTCACTTCTCTCCATGCAGCTTCCTCCTTTTGCACTTCTTGAGAGACATTTCTGCTGTCCACAAGAAAGCACTTTGCTGCAATTTCAAGGGTGCCTGCACACACAGGGTGCTCTGCTGTGGAGACTGGTGGGAGAGGGCTGTGCAGGAAATACCGAAGAACATAGGTGAGCCTGTGATCAAAATTGCTCTCTATCGATTGTTTTATCCCTCCAGAGTTTGTAGGAGTAAGGTTTTCTCCAAAACCACCTTTGGTTTACAGCATTTTTCCTTCTGTTTAGCCTGGGACAGGCCCTCAGGAGGAAGGGGTCTTGACACAGGGGGTGGCTTGCAGCTGCAGCCACTGCAGCCCAGGGATGACTCCAGTACCTTGCTGAGAGAGCGCCCCGACAGATGGGGAGAGGAGCAAGTGGCTTTGTGTGGCTGGTGCAGCAGCTGCACTCCTCCAGGGAAGGTTTAGCTCAGATTAGCCAAAACCAACTCCTCTCCCCAAGACATGCTGACGTGAGCTGCACAAAGCTGGTCTCAGCTGGAAATTGCTCCTCGCAGGTCTTAATGCTGAACAGCAAGGACAATCAAGAGCAGTAACAAGACACTTGGGGCTCACTTGGTGTTTCAGATATGTAGGCACAGATCAGGCAGCTGTGGCTCTGGGGGGCTGTTGGAACACAACAGTGCTCAGCAGTGTTTCTCAGGCCTGAACACCACCTCAAGGTAGTTGGAGGAGGGAGGGAGAAGGGGGCAGGGTCTTACTACTCTCCCGTGGAAGAACTCTGTTGAACAGTGAGGGCTTCCTCTGCTCTTCTATCATGCTCATCCCCATGGTAGCACACAGCTTTGCAATTTCCAGCATTGATGTATTTCTAGAGGACAGAACATGCTGCTCCTGTCGGTGATGTGTTTTAACTGTTATCAGCATTTATCTGCTTCAGGAATTCAGAGCGATAAGTGGATTAAGTGCAGTAGGTTTGTAGGGCTGCTGGGTCAACATCATCCTTCTGTCTTTTCCCTTCTCCTCCTATAAACAACCCTGTTGCCACTGTAAATGCCAAGTCCTAGAAATATCACTGTCTGGAATTAAATATATATATATACAGATCTAGTATTTCAAAAGAGATCACACGTAAGACCCAGCTGTGGGATTAGAGGCACGGCCAGAAATACTTTCACTGCCGGGATTTGCTATGGTAGAGCTTGCTGAACAGAAATGGCTTTGAAACGACTACCCAGCAGCTATTAGCTGCGAGACAGGATGACATTCTGTTCCTCAGAGCCTAAAGGGAGCCTGAATCTTTGAATGTTAACTTCTAATTCAATTTGGTCTGGGGATTCTGGACTGGGTTTTAACCCTGGAGAGCTAAATGGG